AGGGCCAATTACAGATCAGCTGGGACAACCGAATTCCACGGTCCTGTGCTCAGTTCAAGTAGTAACGGCTTTCGGGTTGACCAAGTGTTGTTGTGCGTTAACGACGGAGAAGCGACGGAGGCAGTTGTGTTGAAGAAATGTGGTACAGGATTATCTACAAGACCAAGCAGTGACGTCGCCCAGCCAGAGACAATGGACGTCTGTCTATATATTTCATTTTTTAGAGTAGGATGATGTATATTTTTTTAGCTAGGATGTATTCTTTTCGTTAATAAAGTTGTCGCACACAGCTAGCTTGCTTTAGCAGTGTTGCAAAAACTTTATTTTCGGGGAGAAGGGGAGATGTAACACTGTAAAAGTGTTTGGGTTAGTTTATTTAAAATATATATAGAATATGAGTCACAGACAGGGATTTGGAAAGGCGCCAAGTTGTCGGCGGAGATCTCATACCTCTAACCGTTAATGACCTCAAGTGACCTGAGGTCAGATCATGAGAATTTCACCTTGCTTCCGCTAAGCTCTTAATTGTAGTCTGGTAGCCTTCAAACAAGCCGACGTTTAAGGAGTGGCTTGGTAGTGCCGGAGGCTATCTATTTGTGGGCGGAGTTAGCTACTAGGTTCCCCAATAAATACTCGGAGAGCTATCGAGCATCAAGCATTAACGAGACAGAACAGCAGACGAGCAGAGCAGAGAAGACAGCCCTACCAGGGAGGCTGTCGGCCGGCAGGGCGGGAGTCTCTGTCAGCTACAGACCCCCCCCCCTCTCTATTCAACTTAGACTCAGTCCTCGGTGAGTTAACATTAAGGTGACTTGGTCGTGTTTACATATGTTGTGTGATGATCAGGGACAGTCAAGTTGTAGGGTTCTCGAATTCTTGGATGATGACTCACTTTGCATATTAAACTGGAACATTTTAATTGAATTGCTTAAGTTATGATACTTATCATGAAAAATATAATTGTTGAATTTATTATTTAAATGGTCTTTCACTGTGTTCCTTAGAGTTTTGAGTTGAGGTGAGAAAGCCTCTGTGATTACTGGTTTCATGATTTAATGAGTACATGTTTGGAGTTGATACATGGTAATAACATCTTTTGAGAATATTTTGATACAGGCAAGTTCCATTCCTTGTCTTGTATATAATGATCATGAATGGATGGTGGCAGCATTTCGTCTTCTACTATCTACTCTTCTACTTCTACTATCTACTCTTCTACTTCTACCTATCTACACCTCTCCCTCCACCCCCTCTCTAAACTCTCACTTTCAACTAATGACCCTCCTCGCTCCTCCCACCTCTCTCCCTCTCACCCCCAAGCCCTCACTAATTACTTCACTATTCATTTCTTTCCTTTCGTTTTCTCTTATACGTTTGTGGCATGATTCTGTATTCTAGAGTTCTCTCTAGAGTTTCGGGTAACTGATCAAGTGACGGCGCCTTGTAGTCTTAGCACCTAGGTAGTCAAATACCTAGGTTACAAGGTGTTGAACGAGAGAGGTTGCCTTAGGAACTCTGGGAGTAAACTAGAATAGTTAGCTAACTGGGGACGGGATAACGGACTAGAGAGAGCTGTTTCCCCCGGCCTCGTTAGTTAACTGGGGGGTGGAATAATGGACAAGATAGAGCTATTTCCCCCACCCACGTTATAACGTGAAAAGAAAATTACAAGGCGCCGACCAGTGGGCAGAGAGTACCACGCCGGCCAGGCGAAGAAGGCACAAAACAGCATCAAAAGGCCCACCTTGACAGCAAAACACAAAGTCCCAGCACGACCACAACACGTGCCAAGACCCCAAAAAAAATCAATCTGCAAGCCAGGGAGACCCCAGAATGCAGAACTGGGTCACACACGAGGAAACAAAGCCCCCTGAACCCACAAAGGGGGCCCAAGAGGAAGAAACCTCCGGAACGAAACCAAAGAACCCAAAGGAACCCGGAATCGAACCAGGAGGCGCCCAAACCACCACATTTGCCGGCGGAGATACACCACAGAAAGGCAAAGCACAGCCCCTAGACAGAACCCCCAGGAAAATGGTCAAAACAGACCAAAAACCGAGGGACAAGGTGTGGGAGCAAGCATAAACTGACAGGGACACTGAGCCTAAACCCTAGGGCCCAGACCCAAAACAGACAAAACAGAAAACCCGGTGTAAAATCAACACTCACACTTTCCCAGAGGAACAGAAGACGGGCAGAAAACACCAGAAAAGCAAAGAAACGGCAAGAGGAGAATAAAACCCCTGAAAAAGGTGAAAAAATTCAACCAAGACGCTCGCTCGCACACCCAGGCACATGTAAACAAACCACAACGTCGCCCTGGTGGTCACATAGGGAAACCGGCAGAAGAAATTGGCCACCAGAACAGGGGGCTGTGACCGACGCAAAAGATACGAAAACACGCCAGTAAAAGTGGGAAGCAAGCAGACTGGATGGGCGAAAAACTCCACCCAGAAGCAGAAAACCCAGGCAGGGGCAAACAGCCCCAGAAATGCTAGTAGGCATCCCCCACAGCTCAGGGAACCCTCAACAGAGGCCCCGGGGCAGAGCCATCCTCCAAGCCCTCCCCCTTAAAGGAAAGGAAGAGTTCATGGGAAAGGCAGCAAGAAAGAGCCGCAGGTAAGACCCAGAAGCCTTGGCAGGAGGAACAGGCTCGAAAACCTCCGTCCCCAACCCGAACGGTGCAGCACCCGAAACCGCCCGGGTCTCGGCCTCAACTAAACCCCGGATCGACCCCGAAACCCGCAGACCGTCCGGAACCGGGAAGAGGGAGGGAAAGGGGCGAACAGCACCTAATCAAAACGGGGCGGCCCCAGGTCATCCGAGTGGGAAACCAACCTAGCATGTTGCAGCAACGTAACTTAGCTTGCAACACGAATGCCGCCTGTATGCTGAACAGTAATAACATCAGGAGAGTACTGGAGAACAAGCAGAGAGTATCTCTTGCAAGACTCCTGGTCAAGGTGTCAGTAACCCAACAGGCAACGTGATGGAGGTAAAAGTGGCCCCTGTCACCCGGAGACAAGGGCAGATAGAAAACTATCACCTGAGGACCACATAAAGAATATTGTGCGAGGAGCTTATGCCACGTTTTCTAACTTCAGAATTGCTTATAAATGCATGGATGGCGATATACTAAAGAAATTGTTCATGACTTTTGTTAGGCCAAAGCTAAAATATGCAGCGGTTGTGTGGTGCCCATATCTTAAGAAGCACATCAACAAACTGGAAAAGGTACAAAGACATGCTACTAAGTGGCTCCCAGAACTGAAGGGCAAGAGCTACGAAGAGAGGTTAGAGGCATTTAATATGCCAAAACTAGAAGCAAGAAGAAAAAGAGGTGATGTGATCACTACATACAAAAAATAAAATAAAATCGACAGGGAAGATTTCCTGAGACCTGGCACTTCAAGAACAAGAGGTCATAGATTTAAACTAGCTAAACACAGATGCCGAAGAAATATAAGAAAATTCACTTTCGCAAACAGAGTGGTAGACGGATGGAACAAGTTAGGTGAGAAGGTGGTGGAGGCCAAGACAGTCAGTAGTTTCAAAGCGTTATATGACAAAGAGTTCTGGGAAGACGGGACACCACGAGCGTAGCTCTCATCCTGTAACTACACTTAGGTAATTACAGCAAGCAACGATTCCATACAAGACGGGTTGGAACCCGGAAGACACATTCAATGGTCTACCAAGCCCCGACGGGTTTCCAGGGCCCATAGGGTAACAACTACGGGAAGCCCAGGCAAGGTGTTGCTAACCGGTTAAAACCCAAAAATAACAAGGGGGTAGAGGACAACACTGAAAACCTCTGTGACGTGTACAATCACAGGGGCCTAGCAGAGGGCCACCAAACACTACCAGTGGAACTATAGCACACACTAGGCAGACCACCACCAGGCAAATGAAAATAAAAACAAAAGAAAAACCCCCAAAAGAACACCGTCTCCAGAGGCAACAGGAACCGGTCACCGCTTAGGTGGCAGGTCGCGCAACACCCTGACGCCCTAACCAGCACAATACCAATCCCTACCCAGGGCCAAACAAGGTCCCCCAAGCCCCAGCTGGCCCCAAGGGCGAGGCAAATGCCAAGCAGCAGGAACCTCTACGGGAATGGTTCCCGAACGCCCCAGGGAACATAACCCTGTCACACAGGGGCAGTACTCACAGGACGCTTTGGGAAGGAAGCCCCTAAGCGCATGCAGCCCTGGTACTGATGAGGAATACCTGGCCACCGCACAACACAACACACAGCAGTGAACGCCACACAAGGCAAACACCCCGTAAGAAACTGAGGCCAGAGAAGCGTCTATCCCAGTTGACATCAGCTTACGAACTGATGCTAGGCAGCCGGCGCGGTGAGGTCCGGGGCTCCCCTTCCCCCTCTCGGGGCGGGTAGGGCTACGCGGACGATCAGCGCGGCAGTAAAGTGTGAAGTTTGCATATTTGCTTGTTTCCTTGGGATTGTAGGGAGTTTCTACCTCTCTGTTCATTTTTTGTTCTAGTTTTTTACCATGTGGGGTTTGTTTTGTTATGCCTACCTTTCTGGGTGCCTAACCCCGGTCAATGGCAGATAAGGAAAACTCCAACCACAAGGGGGTTTTCCAGGGTCACTGCTCCCTGAAACCTCTCTGCAGGGGCCAGGTTCTGGCGCTTGTCCCTGGTAGGTCTGAACTCCTTAGCTAATGTCCCAGTCTAATATAACATACATTAGCTCAATAAGCTCCAGGGAGCTGAAAGGGCTCCCCACAGAAAATGCCATCGGTTTACGAGAGCCCTGAGGAAGCTGATGTGAACCCCATGTAGCCGCGGGAGTTTTGAATGCTACGCTATACATATGAGCGCTCTGAGGCGCCTTGTGCACCACCGTCCTAGCGTCTCAAGGTGCGTTGTGCAGTGGTTAAAGTAGGTTGTTATAACTTCCAAACACAATATATGTATGTTCTGAAATTTTGTTTCTTAATGAAACACTAAAATAAAAATAATCCACTACTCACCAGAAAATGGAGAGATCTGATGTTTCAATCAACATCTCATCTAAATAATCAACCATTTTTGTGTGAAAAACAATTTGATTGATGAGTGCTGCCAATTCTCGATTGTTCTTCAGATTCAACCCAGCACGATTAGCCGTTGCGTAAGCTTGGAGCCGAAACCAATCAAGACGGATGCCACGAAAGTCAAATGATGTACCTTCCTCTACTGAATATAAATTAGAGAGAGCATGGATAAAACAGCATTAGATTCATTGGGTCACAGTTAGTAGCTGGAACAAAGCACAAACAAAACCACTGATAACTAATATTAATCAAATTTAGTCAAAATTTAAAAGATGAAAAGTCAGAGGTGTTTGTCAGGTGTCATCAGTGAATCTGAGGGATACATTCATCACCTGTGTTATAGACAAGGATCTCCCATATACAGTACTGGGTACAGGAACAATTGTCAGCCACTTGCCATGGGGCAGTGGGTGTTTGGAGATGAAGTAGTGGAAGTAGAGGGGATGGGAGTGGGGAGATGGGATGGGAAAGTGGCTGAAGTTGGAGGGGAGGGGGGGGGGCAGTGACTCCCCAACCTTCAGGACAGCTGATACCTGGTTGATGGGGTTGTAGGAGTTCTTCTACTTCCCAAGCCTGGCCCGAGGCCAGGCTTGACTTGTAAGAGTTTGGTCCACCAGGCTGTTGCTTGGAGCGGCCCACAGGCCTACATATCCACCACAGCCTGGCTGGTCAGGCACTCCTGGGAGGAAACAATCTAGATTCCTCTTGAGGATGTCCATGGTTGTTCCGGCAATATTTCTTACGCTCGCTGGGAGGGTGTTGAACAACCGTGGACCTCTGATGTTTATACAGTGTTCTCTGATTGTGCCTATGGCACCCCTGCTTTTTACTGGTTCTATTCTGCATTTTCTTCCATATCGTTCATGCCAGTACATTGCTATTTTACTGTGTAGATTTGGGACCTGGCCCTCCAGTATTTTCCAGGTGTATATTATTTGGTATCTATTTCGTCTCCTTTCTAGTGAGTACATTTGGAGAGCTTTGAGACGATCCCAATAATTTAGGTGCTTTATTGCGTCTATGCATGCCATACATGTTCTCTGTATTTCCTTTATTTCAACAATCTTTCCTGCTCTGAAGGGGAAAATGAGTACTGAGCAGAACTCAAGACGGGGACAACTCAAGTGACTTGAACAGTACAACCATTGTGATGGGATCCCTGGATTTGAAGGTTCTCGTAATCCATCCGATCATTTTTTTGGCTGACACAATATTTGCTTGGTTATGCTCCCTAAACGTTAGGTCGTCAGACATCATTATTCCCAAATCCTTTACATGCTGTTTTCCTACTATGGACAGATTCGATTGTGTTTTGCACCCTGTATTATGTTTAAGATCCTTATTTTTCTGGTACCTGAGTATCTGGAATTTATCACTGTTAAACATCGTGTTATTTTCTGTTGCCCAGTCGAAAACTTTATCAATATCTACTTGAAGTTTTTCAATGTCTTCAGTTGAGGTAATTTTCATGCTGATTTTTGTGTCATCTGCAAAGGATGATACGAAGCTGTGACTTGTATTTTTGTCTATATCTGATATGAGAATAAGGAACAGCAGTAGTGCAAGGACTGTACCTTGAGGTACAGAGCTTTTAACACTTTCGCACGGGAACGACGCAGCATTGCATCATTTTTTTAGTAGACATTATCTTGGTAACGACGCAGCATTGTGTCGTTTTCGGCAGCAAATTGGCGGCGGCTTCAAGAGGGGCGCACAGCAGTTTTGGATATTATATGCATATACTCTTGTAGGGAATTTCATTGCGAATACATTGATACCAAAATGAAAGGCCTAGGACCAGAATTGAGGTAACAAATTTGAAAACAGTATACCCGTTTCATTAGCGTTCACTGGGATTATGCTCCGTCACTTTCTCTGTTTGCTGTGGGTGGTACGCCTGGCTTTTGGACTTTATATTTGCAAATACTCCTGTAGAGAATTCTATTGCGAACACAATGTTACCAAATTGAAAAACCATGGACGAGAATTGAGGTGACAAAGTTGAAGAGAGTATACACTTTTCAGAATTACTGTGCGCTCCCGTGAAACGCTGGGGCCCACTCGGCCTAGTTGAGGGCTAGAGGGCTGGGGCCACCACAGCGTTAACTGCGCTTAGACTCGATTTTATATGGTTGACTGTTACTCTGTGCTCTGTTCGACAGGAAATTGAGTATCCAGCGTCCTACTTTACCAATTATACCCATTGACCTGATATTGTGTGCTATCACTCCATGGTCACATTTGTCAAATGCTTTTGCAAAGTCTGTGTATACAACATCTGCATTCTGTTTTTCTTCTAATGCCTCAGTGATTTTGTTGTAATGGTCAAGTAGCTGTGATAGGCAGGATCTTCCCGCTCGAAATCCATGTTGGCCTGGATTGTGGAGCTCATTTGTTTCCATAAATCTAGTGACCTGACTCCCGATCACTCTCTCAAATACTTTTATTATGTGGGACGTTAGTGCAACTGGTCTATAATTCTTTGCCAATGCTTTGCTCCCTCCCTTGTGTAGAGGGGCTATGTCTGCTGCTTTCAGCGCTTCTGCTATCTCCCGTGTCTAAGCTCTTCCTCCACACTATACTGATTGCCTGTGCTACTGGCACTTTGCATTTCTTTATGAATATTGAATTCTATGAGTCTGGACCTGGGGCTGAGTGCATGAGCATATTGTCAATTTCTCTTTCAAAATCTGCCATGCTCGTGTTGATATCAGTTTTACTTACAGGTGTTTGGATATTATGCATAAAGAAGTTGTCTGGATCTTCCACTTTCATGTTATATATTGGGGTGCTAAACATGTCCTCATATTGCTTTTTTAGGATTTCTCCAATTTCTTTGTCATCCTCAGTGTATGAACCTTCACTAGTACAAATAGGTACAATACTGGCAGTGGTTTTTGCTTTTGATTTAGGATATGTGAAGAAATATTTTGTTTTTTCTTTATTTCTTGAATTGCTTTCTGTTCTAGTTGCCTTTCTGCAATCTGATATGAATGTCTGTTTGATTTCTTCAATCTCCCTGTTTAAATTATTTCTTCTTTGTATGGAAAGTCGTGTCTGCTTAAGCATTTCCATCAACTTTTTTCTTCTTTTGTAGTGTCATCTGCATTCTCTTTCTACATTGGACCTCTTTCTGGCTTACCTCAAAGGAACATTTTTCAGACAGACTTAATAGGCTTCAGAAGTCAGTTTTCTATTCCTTGTGTAGAATTTTTATTACTTAGAACATTTTCCCATTGAATGTTTGCAAGTTCTCAGTTTATTTTCTCCCAGTCTATCCTTTTATTATTAAAATTGAATTTATTGAAATGCTCTTCTCGCTTGTTGTTTCTCTTGGGCCTACTACCGTTATTAATGTTAGTTTGCACTTCAATGAGTTTGTGGTCCGAGTACGGAGTGTCTGAGACAGTAATATCTCTGATTAGCTCATCAGTGTTCGTGAATATGAGATCCAGCATGTTCTTGTTTCTAGTCGGTTCTGTAATCTGCTGACTGAGTGAGAATTTGTCACAGAATCTCAGTAGTTCTCTGACCTGTGATTGGTTATTTCAAGGTTGATTTCCTGCTATAATGTTATTGTTTACTATTCTCCATCGTAAACTGGGTAGATTGAAGTCCCCAAGGAAGATAATATCTGGTACTGGGTTTGCTAGGTTATCAAGGATATTCTCTATTTTGTGGATCAGCTCAGTGAATTCCTCGACTGTTGCATCTGGCAGTTTGTATATTAGAATAATAATTAGATTTATATTTTCTACCTTATTCCAAGTACGGTCGGCCGAGCGGACAGCACGCGGGACTTGTGATCCTGTGGTCCTGGGTTCGATCCCAGGCGCCGGCGAGAAACAATGGGCAGAGTTTCTTTCACCCTATGCCCCTGTTACCTAGCAGTAAAATAGGTACCTGGGTGTTAGTCAGCTGTCACGGGCTGCTTCCTGGGGGTGGAGGCCTGGTCGAGGACCGGGCCGCGGGGACACTAAAAGCCCCGAAATCATCTCTAGATAACCTCTAGATAAGTACCTCTACCACCTCATTGGTCAAGTTCAGGAGCTCTGTGCATGCCAGCTCCTCTTTTAATATACAAACCTACTCCTCCACTTGATCTAATTACTCTGTCACATCTATATAGATTATAAAAGAGATTATAGAGATTCATCTATACATCTATAAGAGATTATATGATGCTGGCTGGGAGACCCCCCCCTTCATTACTTAATATTTTGTTGGTCATTTTTGGTTTAATGTACCTTTATCCATTCCAAATATTGACTTTTTTCATCAATAATGAATACTCCGCTTACTGCTGTTTGGCTGAGTGATGAATACAGTTGGCTCACATGGAATCTTAACCTTTGTATGACTTGGCTTATGACAACCCCTTTCATCAGCATTCCCTTATATATTTTGTTCTCTCATTCTTTTTTTTTTTTTTGTCCAACCCTCTTCCCTCTTCAATTTTTTTCAACTTTTTTTCCAACTCTCTCATACTCTTGTTTCTGTATAATCTTAAAGATTTTTGTGGTGCATATTCTATAATCTAGTTATATGCCAATATTTCACTTTGTCTACAAGAGGGTAGATTACCCTCTGACCTACTACGCTCCACTACACTTACTCCTCCTTATCCTGTGTGCCACTTGTCATCCTGTTCCTCAACCATTCAAAACACTTGGAGATATCTCTGCACAAATTTCTCCAATTCCATTAAATGCTAAAATGCTCTAATATCTCTCTCCACTTAACCATGTCTGTATTTGATAACTAGAACCTTTACCTAAAAAGTTTTCCCATGTATGCTCTACTCGATTATCTAACTTCTTAGCGATAACACTTTACACAAAATGCCAGCCTTTGTCCCCCTCTCTTTCATTGAACTTGGTTTCTTGCATGTAAAACTTGCAAATTTACCTAATATGCTCAAAGGTCCTTTGGCACAGAAAATGTTATGGTTATGAGTGTAATGCCAAAAATTTAGTCTTTACACTTTTATTTTTCACTTTACACTTTATTATACAAAAACAGTATATCGGTCGAACTCTCAAAACCATTTGCAGTAATAGGCTAAAGCAGATTCAAGGCTGGCCTTGATTGTTCTTTTTTAAAAGTACAGTTCTCTCATCAATGAAAAAGTGGTCAAGTAGC